ATTATAGAGAGTAACTATAGTGCAGATTGTACCACAGATCGTAATACAGAAGACAATAAAATAGGAGAAAAACAAGAACGAGACGCGAGGCCCAAGGAGGGCGGAATGAGCAGTCCTAGAGTGGGCAGATACATGGGGCGGAGGGGAGGCAGTTCAGAGAGAACGCTGGCTGAAGCGTTACCAGGACTGATGAAAGATGCGCATCCACAGACAGCAGACCCAAACAAAGTGGAGAGCGTGCCGTTTACGGGGAAAATGAACTGGTTGGAAAAGCAGGAAAGACGCTGAGGCACCCGTAGGAGTCCCACTAACGTAGCCGAACTACAGCGTAACAAAGGAAAACCTCAGGAGCAAGGCAGCCATCAAAGAGACAAGCACCAAAGAGTCCACAGGAGCCACGGAAAAGCCGGGAGACAGGAAGCAAGCAAGGCCAGGCATGGTGGCGCACACCTGGAATCTCACCACTCAGGAGGCTGAGGCAGGAGGACTGCCACAAGTTCAAGGCCAGCCTGAACCTCACAGCCAGACCTGTCTCAAAACATGGAAGGAAAAAAAGCAACAGCACAATGAAAAGAAGCACGCATCTAAATGTGGTACAATGAAACTACAATGAAAAGCAAAAGAGCCTCCGAGAGACAGAGGCGAAGGTGACCTCCCAGTTAGCAGATGACGTCCACAGACGATGGAATGCTGTCTTCTGAGCAATGGAAGAACTTAAGCTATCAATCTACAGTCACACAGTGAGCACAGCTGTCTTTCAAAAATAAAAGCAAATGTGTTATGAGATCTTAAGGAGCAAGTTTATGACTGATGAGCCTTCTCCAAATGAACTTTCGAAGATATTCACCAAAAAGAAAAGAAAGCGACCCCACAGGAAACCCAAGGTGGAAAAGAAGTAACAACACCCACAGCAATTACTTAGGCTTTTAGAAAGGAAGAGTTAATGACAGCATGGGGTCAGAGCCAAGGGGCAGACACTGAAGGCGCCTCCTCTCCACTGAGCGGTCCTGGATGCCCCGCCCGGGCCTCTGGAGCACACCATGCGCACTCGGCGTCCAGCTGCAAGAGGAAAATGGGCTGCAGCCACCTCAGGCATCTGCTCAAGCCATGAGCCACACAACAAAGGACTTGTCACTCAGTGCTAAGGGACAGGACACTGTGGGCCGAGGGGACAGCTAAGGCTCACAAGTTCAGATCAGGAAAGCATGCACCTTCCTTCCTCTGAACAGCACGGTGTATCATTACTCACACGATTCTGAAATGTCCAAGCCAGAGGCAAGCAAACTCACAAAAGCATCCTCTGGAGAAACAGCACAACCACAGCGGGAGATGTTGGGAATCCCTCCAGCCCCGGACCTCCCGCAGCTACTGCCTCAAGGTCCTTGTAGGTCATGCCTGCCCAACAACATCACCAGTGACGACAATGAACGGGTGCCGGGAAAAGCTACAGCCCTGGTCTCTCCACACCACCACTCGCCACTAAGCGTCACTGAGCCAGAACAGAGTGATGGGAGGGAGGGACAGACAGAGGCTGAGCAAAGCCTGGGGCAGTGGTGAGCAGAGGCTGCCCACCTGCCTGTCACGCCGTCACAGCGACTCCCACTGGCCACTGCATGACACCTACCTGGCCCGGCCAGCACTGAGATTCTAGACCCATGAAAAACCTCACCAAAACTTTTTTTCTCAATTCAAGACTCTGGAATCTAATCAAATTAAATTTTTAAACATCCCAAGAAGTTGTCAAATCCATTTTCTTCATACTGATCAAAATTTCATCATAAGAAGCTAGAAGGTAGCCAGGCACTGTGGCGCAGGCCTGTCATCTCAGAACGAGGGAAGCTGAGGCAGGAGGACCACTGCTAATTTGAGGCCAGCTTGGGCTACATAGTGAGTTCAAGGCCAACCTGAACTGCATAGTAAGAACCTATCTCAAAATAAAAGTAGGTCAATTTTGACCTATAAACATTAGCATAATCAGAGTTTTTCCGAAACATTAAAATACTGTTGTTTCATTGAAAAGTACATAGAGAAAAAGCAACGCATTCGCATAACAGCGACAGACTACCCACATCCATGCTGAAATGATCCAAGCATTATCCATCAGAAAAATCTTTCAAGCATCATTTTTTCTAGATTTACTCTTTACGACCTAAAAGCAAACACATTTTGCACGAATTCTATAATTTACAACATGTGTTTTTTAATTTCACTAGGAGGAATTTATTTCCTTAAAAGTTAATTCCTGGTTGCTCAGTAGTGTTTAGCCACGTGAGGCTGCTCAGCCTGGCACGCACAGGTTCTTCACCTAAGAAAATGGTCCCGAAAAGCACACACAGAAGGCGACAGAAGGGAAGTTCACTCAACTTACCGTGTGTGTAAGAGACCCTACTAGCATGCTCCCCTTGGGGTTGTTTTGATTTTCCTGACCGTATACCAGTGACCTTGGTCAGGGAAGGCAGTACATATTCCCAAGGTCACAGAATCTCTAAACATGTTCTACCTATGAAGAGATTGTCATGCTAACTGCACATGACAATAGGATACCGGATGATCTTATAAATTATTGTATTAATTTTGATGTTAAGGGCAATAAAATGTTTTGTTATCATCTTGATATAACAAAAGACTTAAAAGCTTTTAACAGTCACACAAACTTAAAATTTTCAGACACGTCCAAAAAAATACCTCACTTGGTTGAAAATGACTACAAACAAAAGTACATTTCGACCATCATGTTGGCTTTAATACCACAGCTAACAAGCAGGTCTCTCCATCTGTTTCACTGGTGACAGGCAAGTGCGAATGGCTAAAGCCATCTACTACTACCCAGAGACTGGAGGGACAGCCCACGGTGATTCAAGTAGCCACAGCGGTACCCCTTCGATACATACCCGGAGTGCTTAGAGGCCAACTTAGCCCTGCTGACACACACCTTCGGCGTACTACTAGGCTGCACGATATTCTGTCCTCTGGGAGCTGAGGAGAGGGGTCACATCTTAGATACTCCTGAACCCCTTCCAGCTCAGGAACAGAGGCGAGTGTGGGCTTATGAACCTCCACAGTGCCACAGACATTTCCCATGGCAATCAGGAGGCAACTGGGGGTGGATAAGTAAATTAAGTGGAGACGTGGCTTTGCACAGCCCAGTACAGAACAAGGACACAAAAGTGACTTTGACGTAACGTACAGGACACAGCCGTGAGCATCCACCACACACGCTCAGGGCATGCACAACAAAACATCTCGCACCCTTAGCACAGAGCTTTGAAATCTCTGTTGTTGTTGATGATGTGTGTGATGCTGCACTTTGTGCCTGCCCTTAATGGCACTCCTGTAATGCCACCTCATAGCTGTAAAGGGCCATATTCATACAGGCTGTGTTGTTCCAAATCCAGGGCAGATAAAAACAACGTATTTTTCCACTGCTCGCTTCACAAACACAGTATTTTGCTAATAAAAACAAAGGTCATCAGCTTTTTTATACCGACACTCCATTCTGATGGGAATAATTTTTCAGAATTCCTCATGGAAAAATCGTGTAGTAACTTGGCTTTCAAATCAACTTTCACCCAATTCTTCATCATTCTCTCAGACCTTTTTCAATTCTTAATCAAAATTATCCACCAACCAGGGACTGGGAACAGGGGCCAGGGCCAGGGGACAGGATGGCGTTTCCTTTTTGTATTTTTTTAAACAACAGTTATGATGCAAATTAAGTTACAGTGGATGGGCACAGCAGTCCTATATTATCTTTACCATTTTAAATGCATGTCACTAGAGAGACAAAAGCACACTCTCAAATACCCTCTAGCCACGGTCCTTTGCCAGATCGCTCCCCCCTTGGCATCATTACGAGAAGTTTCCAGGCTGCCCTACTCTCCAAGCCCAAGTCCTGCGTGTGTGCCCCTCCAGGATTTGCAGAGTGCACCTGCATCCCTTCTCACTCTACCTTTTGTCTAAGAACGCCAAAGCACTTCATTATTCTGTCCTCAGGCCTATGAAGTCACTGGTCTGTGGAGCGCCGAGGGCTAACAGCCAGCGAGGCCTGGACAGCCGACCAAAACGGAGTAACCCTCCGGCTCCCTAAGCTCCTCAGAAAATCAGGCAGGGCTCTGTTTACAGGTCATGAGGATTTTTATCGAAACCAAACAAAACGCACACAAAAAGAAACCCTTCCTCACAAAGGAACTTGGGCACACACAATTGTACTTTTCAGAGGTGGAAATACGACTGACTGTTCTTGTTCTTTCAGTTCGCAAGAGTTTCGACAGCCAGGACATCTGCATCTTGATAAAAACTCTGGAGGGCAATTTGATCAGACTCCCAGCACCCTTCCTTCACAGCACCGTACTCGTGACACTCCCAAGGAGCCGGGAGATGTGCCCCGAATCCCCGCCGACTCGGAGAGGAGGATACAGTCCTCTGGCTCCGGGCTGCTAAACAGTCTGCTCTAACCCAGGCCACAGGAGCCCTCTTGACACAACAGTGTCACAGCGCTAACTCACAGCGACCTAGCAGCCTCCACCTCCGCCGCCCGCTGGCTGCCTCTGGGGTCCCTGACCACCATGTGGCACAGGGTCGCAACAAGCAAAGTCACGGGCAACGGGGGTGGACTAAAGGGTCAGAGAGGCAGGGTGCGGAGGGGGCCGCAGGCGCTCAGCCCAGCGGCGGGGACGCGATGCCCCCGGGTACCTCCTGCCAGCCGGGGACAGGGTCACAGGGCCGGGACCGGGCCACCGGGCCGGGGGTCGGGAGGAACAGGGCAGAGCAGCCTGGGAGGGCGTGCAAGCCTTGGGCACCGGGGCCGGGAGCAGGGAACGCGGCTGAGGACAGGAGGACAGGAGGACAGGACCGGGAACAACGGACAGACGACAAGGGGACCAAGGGACCGGAGACCGGGAAGGGGAAGGGGACAGGAGTCGGGCCAGGGATGGGGTCGGGGTCGGGGACAGGGTCGGGGACAGCGGTTGGGGCCAGGGCCGTACCCGGCCCGCACTCACGTTCTCCGCGTCGCGCTCGTTCACCGTGGGCAATGGCGTCCGCGCCGACATCTTGCGGCGGGGCCGGGCCGGGGTCCCGGGCGGCGGCCGGGGCGGCGCGGGAGGAGGAGG